CACACAGGTAGGCACACAGTGCAAAGGTTTTTCTACTCCAAGAACTTCCTCATATTTTTGCAGGAATGGATTTGAGCAGACACACCTCCACAAAGAAGTTGATCACTTGCAGTTATTAACTATGGATGATTTTTTTTTTCTTTTTAAACCAAATGGAAATCTGAACAGGGTGGCATGTATTGATACTTAGCAGCTTGTGATCTGGTGGTGGTAGTGTATTCGTGTGGGAATGTGTTTTTCAGCAAGTACAGAGAAGCTGAGGAGCATTCCTAAAGGAAAACCTGTTTGATGCATCAGAAGACTTCAGACTGGGATACAGCGTTTTCCCCCCAGGAGATGAACAACATTAAAACAAACAGACAGAGCTATGTTGAAATCATTTAGATTCATGCATATGCCATGTGTTAGAACGGCTGAGTGTCTTGGTTGTCAGAAACTTTGTGGGTAATCCTGTCACAGCAATAATCTGCTCTTGTGTTTCAATCCCAGGGCCGACGATGACCCCGAGAAAACTGCCCCTTATATGGAGGAGTCTCAGCCCACCCCTGGTAAGATGGGGATGCAGAAAGGAAGAAGGGATAAATGAACAGATTGACTCTGATGGAAGCTGGGTTTTTTTTTAACCCTTGTGTTTTGTGGGTCAAAAGTGACCCACTACAATGTTTAGTTGTTGGAAAAAAAACATACCCTAAACTATCTTTTTCCAACTTGAAATTTTATGACTTTTCCTAAATGGTTCCCATCATTGGAAAAAGTGGCACTTTGTTTTTGTTTATATGTCCATGTGGGCTGTACACCACTAGGGTACAAAGATGGTCTAATGGGTCATTTTTGATCCGTGAATTATAAAACCATTTAAACACCAGAAAGAGAGTTCAAAGGTCACACACAAACTCTCTCTCTCTAATACATACACACACACCTAGGCACCCGAAAATGGCTGCCAAGAGAATTTCTCAAACATGCATGAAGGAATCAAACAAACACTCCAGGTATGTTTCGATTTCACCACTTCATTATAAAGTCATTGAGAAAACTTCATTAACTTAAAGTTTAAGTCAGTGTAACTGGGTTTAAATTATTTTTTTTTTTTGGTGGGGGGGCGGGGAGGGGCGTGTTGAATGTTGATGAACCTCCTGCTCAGCTGCCCACCAGTCACGTTGAGTGCATGACTGTATAGTTACTCATCCATCTCCTTTTCATCTTTTATTAAAACTCTTCTCCATCTATCAGCCTGAACATCTGAGTCTCTCTGACTTCCCTCTGTCTCTTTATATTTGGGCAGAAATCACTATCAAGTTGGATGAGTCAGACTGCCTGTCCGTGGCCAGCTCTCACAACCAAGAGACAGAGCGCTTCCTGTCCACCGGCCCCACAGGCCGCCGTGTCTCCTTCAATGAAGCTGCTCTCTTTGATCATGGCAAGAAAACCCAGGAGAAGGGCCGCAGGTCAGATAGCCAGCGCGTGCGCACACACACACACACACACACATTTGAAAAGAGATTTTTTTGCTTTTCGTTCAGCACTCGACTCTTGCACTAAATGACTGTTGTTTTCTGAGATCAAAGAATGTAAACAATTCACTATGTCCAACTTCTACGCTGGTGTAGCATTGAGAATGACCGTAGAATCCATTATATATGCTGGGGAAACAAAGAGCTTTTTTTGTGTTTGTTTGTTCTTTGCTGTCCTACTTTTCTCCTGAAGCCCTGCACATTATTCTATGGGGCCTAACCTTGAGTTTTGTGAGGCTGTGATGGCTCTGAAGTTGATTTGCTTTCTTGTGCAATGATAAGACACACCAATGTGAACTTTATAATACAAATGTGTGCCACTTCCATTGGGTTGCAAAAGTATTTCTACAAGTTGTATTTTTAAACATCTGGTTACATTGCAACCACAAACTTTAATGATTTTATTGTATTTTTTATTTATTTATTTTTTTTAGACTTTTTTTTTGTCCAATTAATAAAACTGAATGCACTCCTAAATAGCCTAAAGTCATTAACTTTGGCTGGACTGTGTGTTTTGGACCATTGCCCTGCTAGAAGGTAAAATCTGCCTCAGTTTTAAGACTTTTGTGAACAGGTTTTCTTCCAGGATTGCCCTTTACTGATAGCTTCAATCACTTTCCACATTTCTGCTGAAGGAAACTGAAGGACTAATGGTCGTTCTGTTGACAGATTTCTCCACCGGAGATCCGTCTGGATCTCTGCGGCTTCTCCAGAGATTTTCAGTAATTTTCTTAATTTGATTTAAGTCCGGACTTTGTTATATCGTTGTGGCTCTGACTGTATGTTGGGGGTCCTGTTTCCTGCTGGAAGGTGAAAATCCTGTCATGTCTCAAGTGTTTTGCAGGTTTTCTTACAGGCGTCCCTCTCATTAACCTCCTTCCAACTTCCTATCAACTGCAACTAGTTTTTATGTCCTTTATTCCACTTCTACCACCATGCACAATGTGTTCAAGGCTATGTGGAGTGTTAGTTTTTCAAAACAGCATAATCTATTGCACACTTATGCCCACTACATGGCTTGTGGCAAGCTGCAAATGGGACTTTTTATGACTTTATTTTAACACAGTCTTTTTGTCTCTCTTGTTACTCTTCCAATAAAGTCAGAATTGCTAAATTAACTGATTAGCCCTCTCTGTCAAGCTTGTCAGTTTATTTCTTAGGTTTGTAATTGTGTCACACTCTTTCCATTTTCAAATGATGGACTGAACAAAACTCTGACAGGCGCTCACAACTGCTGTTTGTTTACTAACGTTCTCCAGCAAACCTCTGAGATCTGCACAGAACACAGAACACTGAGATTAAAATGTGTCTAAGTGAGCTCTCACTCTTTTGTTAGTTGCTGATTCCTAAAGTTGCTGTTTGGTTGCACTGCATTTATTTTGGGCTTACCGGAGTAGAGGGGGTCTAATTCAAATCCATGCCACACTTTTCAGATCTTCCTTTTTTAATTTGAAAAGCATTTGAATTTTTTCTTTCGCTTCACTGTTATCTACTTCACGTGGTCATCTGTTGGTTACAACTTGGCAAACAGCTGCACAGTTGAAAGGGTAGCGGTACCTTTGAAAGGCACTGCGCATGCTCTGCTGCAAACACACTTTTCACCCTTGTGCACCTCAGGTACACTCTGACCGAAGGCGACTTCCACCACCTGAAGAACGCGCGGCTCACAAACCTCAACATCCCCCCGCCGGCACTCAAAATCGTCACGATTCACGAGTGTGACTCGGCTGAAAACACCATCACGTCAACCACTCGTCCTGTGGCTAAATCAGCTCTTTCCATATTCCAGGTCAGAGACTACAATTCTTCTGTATCATTTTATGTATTTATTTATTTATTTATTTATTTATTTTTTCAAAAAGCCACATAGTCAACAGATGAAACCTAAAACAAAGTCTTTTTTTGAGGGGGTTTGTTCTTCACTTTTTAGCCAATGCTTTGCCCCCTGCCACAAACGCCGCTGATCAATTTAAGCGTGAATCCCAGCTGTGCCCTCCCCGGGGATGCCCTCAATTCTGTTGTTGACACCAGCTTCTGTGAGAAATCTGCAGCTCTCGGCTCAACGAAGCCGACCTCCAGCTCTGTAAGTAGCTTTACCTAACATTAAATCTAGGAGTAATTTACCAGAAAGTACTAAGTAAGGATATAACAACTGTCCAAAAGACAATAGAAGGAAACTAGAATAAAGTATATTACCAAGTTCATGAAGATGCAGACGTGGATCACTTGTCAAGCGGTGCATTTTCGGCCAGACTTTGCACCTAAAGACATCTCTGCACACATTAGATTAGAGCTCACACGGCGTGAGGGAACGATGGTTGAAGGGTGAACGTGGAGACGCTACATTAGTGACGGACTGTCAGAGAGGTTTCCACTCAGACTACTGCTGTGGGCACATTTTTGCGCATGACCACATCTCTGTGTCTCTGCTTAGATCGAAATGATGCGAGCGAGGCCCCGGGACAGGGGCAGCAGCGTCAGCGTAGGAGAGGCAGCGCCGACGATGGGGAACAGCGGTGCGGGCCCCACCTGTGGCATCGCGGGAAGTCCGAGGCCCGTCCTGCAGTTTCTCACCAAACTTCGGCGCCACGCTAGTCTGGAGGGGGCCAGCCCCTACTTCAAAATTAAAAAGTGGAAGCTGGACAGCAGCCAAAGAGCATCCAGCCTGGACACGAGAGGTTCATTTCTGATACTCTTTCTGTTCTATCATTCATTGTTCCTTTTTTTTTTTTTCTGTAGATTTTTCTTATTTTGTGTCTTTGCCAACATTCTCTCATGGTAAGCAGATAGCGGTTTAGCAGGGAGCTCCAGCAACCCACTGTGAGCCGCCTTTTCCCTGAGCTAGATGTAAACACACAAGCACACAAGACAGATGGCTCAATGACGTAAAGTTTGGTTGTTCCAAATCATTTCGAGCCCTTGACTTAATCCTCCCTGCCGCTCACCTCATCTACCATACACACGCTCCCGCCGGTTCCTCCCGATGCTCTTCTGTCCTCGCTCCACAGAGATCACAAAATCCCAAACAGTCGGACGGAGCTTTCAGCTGAATTAAGTGCAACTCGGCTCCTGCTGTCTCGAGGCTTGTCGAAACTCATTGCTCTTTCTTTGTGTTTGGTGTGCACCAGGCTCTCCCAAGCGGAGGCAGTTCCAGCGCCAGCGAGCCGCCAGCGAGAGCATGGACCAGGACGACAATGACTCTCACCACATAGACCTCATCCAGTACATTGCCCGCACCCAGGATGTCCCCTACTATCAGAGCCAGCCCACCACACGCCTCCTGTCACCCCCATCCACACCACCCCCCTCCCTCGGCAGGTATCTTTAATTCCCTTGCCATTCATCCCGTCCACTGCTTTGCTGCCGTGCAACCATGTTTTACTGCAACAAGAGAAGCTATGGTAACACTGTACGGAAAACGTAAACTCTGAGTCTCAATACTCCCTCACTAATCTGCCGAGTAAATTCTTAAAAAAAACAAAACAACTTGTGTTAGACCAAACAAGGCTACTAGTGACACATGTATGTCTACGCGGTCTGGGAAAAAAAGGGGGAGTTTGATACAATTGTTTTCCAGGTCTTGTTTCATTTTTCACAATCTAAAAGCTGTTCAGTCATCCACACATCAATGACTGATGCGTGGATGATAAGAGATTTTCCGGGCCCAGTAATTATTGCAATAAACGATGATATTGTTTCAAGACCATTTTAAAGTAAAATATTGATAATGGCATAATAATGCAAGTTCCCTCTCTCAAAGACCAATAAACTTTAATTTTATATATAAAAAACACATAACGTTGAAATTGAAAGTTATTCTAAATATCCAAAATGAAACACAGCAACCAAAAACAAATAAAACGGAAATAAAAACCACACACAACCGAAACACAAATTAAATGGATAACATCTCTAAAAACAAAACTGTCCTTCAGTATATCAATCATCAAACATTAGAAAGCTCATTTTAATTTTTCATGCAATATATTGACTCATTGCTTATAGGTTCAGCAATCATTGTGTTTATTCATCTATCCACTACATGATCCATCCGTCTATCCATAAATTATCCATTCAGTAGCATTCAGTCATTTTCCGTAAAATGTCTTTCCATCCATCCATCCATCCATCCATCCATCCATCCATCCATCCATCCATCCATCCATCCATCCATCCATCCATCCATCCATCCATCTTACAATCCAGTTGTAGCAGCCTGCATGTGTCATCTAACCCTACTGAAATAGCTGCTATAAATTCACAGCTAAGGTCTTCATGTTAAAGATTGGGTAACAAATGACAGAGTGTTCCTGATCTGTTTTAGAGGAATAGTTTTTCTGTGAGATGCAATCAGTTGCTAACACCATACCAACTTACTGTGAAGATGCGATTTCGCCATAATCCGGCCACTTGTGGGACAAAGTCCCAGTAAACAAGAGGTCTTTTAAACTCGATTTCATGTTTTTAAGCAGGATGTTGGGGATTCCCAGAGCGCTCTTCCCTTCCTCCCTCCCCCGAGAGTGGTGTGGAGAATTGGGACACAGAGTTTATTTCTGGCATAAAAACCCATTCCATTGCTGACATGGCTGGGTAATTTCACAAGGTCCTCAAACATTAAATTGTTTTTCTAACTTTATATCTTTGCTATATAATTTTAGTTTCATAAAGTAAAAACTGCTCAGTATATAATTTTGGATTTTGCTAGTGCTGAACATTAAATAAACATATAAACATTAATGTTTCCTGTGTGTGCTTGATGATATTGGGTAATATGTAATTAACTTCTCGGAAGCTGCAATGAGCAAAATTGTTTTATGAGCCTTTTGCTCAGTTACTTAAGTGGATTTATTCTTCTTGGAAGATAATTTTTTTTTTTTCCAAACCCGACAGCAGAATATTAGTTCCTGTGGCTTCAAAGATTTGGCTCTCAGAGGACATTCAGCAGCAGCCATTGCAAGTCATAAAAATCATTCTGTGCTCTGTGAACACAGTAATGTTTCTCAGGTCAATGCTCTCTGAAAATGACACTTGTGTTGCACTTGTGTCCTTATTTCTCCCATTTTATTTTATTATTGTATTTTATTTTGTCTCCCAACCCCTGTGTGCACACTGCAGGGTAGAGGTAGAGGTGGTGGTGGAGCCCAGCTGCAGCCGTGGCGGACCGGGGGTGATTGGCTTGTCCCCTGATCCCCAAGAAGAGACCCTCTCTGTGGTGAGGATGGAAGGCGGCTACTCCCCAGACTCCTTCCAACCCCAGGATTCACAGTCACTTTACCGAGACATCTGGACACTGCGTGCATCGCTAGAACAGTACGCTGCCTCCGACCAGAGCAGCAACAACGACAGGAACTCGGTTTGCAGCGATGCTGACAGTGTTTGTTCGCTGAGTGTACGCACAGACGCTGAAAGAGGAGGGCTTCCCAGTTACCCGTCCCAGGACCTGGGCGATGAGGCGGAGGGTGGAGAGGAGGACAAGGACTTCTTTGCTTATGCAGATGAGAAGTTGGGGATGCAAGAGTCACTAAAGAGAAAACACGGTAGCACAGAATCAGAGCGTGGGAGTAGTGATGGAGAATCGGGGACTCGTAAACTGTTACAGATGGACAGCGGGTATGCGTCAATAGAGGCTCCGTCTCGAGGTCCCGAGGATCTGAGGCTGTTTAGCAGCAGCAGCATCACCGACAGCCCTAAAGACAGAACTGCCCATGAGAAAAGGCATCATTTCACCAATGCGGGGCGAACGGGCACTATCGGCGAGAGCTTCGAGTCTCATCTCTTCGAAGAGGAACCTGAAGATGAGTTGTTGCTGGGTGCCAGTGGAGGAGTTCCCATGGAGATAGGTGCTAGCGCTTTAAGCTGGCTGCCATATGGTCAGATGCTCAACCCTCGAGAGGCTGCACAGCCTCCAGCTCAACCAATAACCCTTCATCGGCGTGACTACAGCATAGACGAGAAAACAGATGCGCTCTTCCATGAGTTCCTCCGCCACGATCCTCAATTTGACCTGCAGGAGTCGCCAAGAAAACACCGCTCCCGTGTTCACCTCCGTAAGCAGTGGCAGCGCCACAAACAGTGGAGTGACCCCGGAGTAAGACACTTCCAGACCTCCTTTGAAAGACACCGTGTCCCACTGCGGAGGGGAGAAAGCGTAAACTACCCCTTGGACACGAGCTACCACAGCACACTGCCCCGCATCGTCAGCGCGCCTGACGAGGAGACCAGCGACGGAACTGGCAGCACTCCTGACACCCCAAAGGTTGAGCCAACGTCTACTGAGTCTGAGTTGAGGAACAAGAAACTTACGGTCACAGATTCAGAGGAACGCACATCCTCCTCTCTTCCACCTCTTCAGCCCTCATTGTTTGAAAAAGATGGAGGGCTGGTTGAGCAACTTGACACTCAGGAGGACAGCAAACAATGCGGGCACCCTCCTGAGCCCCCGGACGAGCGCTCACCTCCTCACCCGCCTAACTCCTCGGGTTACGGCCCTCAAACTATCACAGCAGAGCTCACGGACAAGCTGACTTCTAACCTGGACGAGAGGCTGTATGCGGCCCTTCGCCGGACCAAGGACGCACCCACCGAGTGTGTAACCGTAACAGCCGCATATGCCTCCCCAGACCACAGCCCAGTGTAGCAGGGCTCCAGTCATCGACATCGTCAGCCTCACTTTTCCTCATACACAATTTGTATTGGTTTTAGTTTGTGTTCTTTTGTGCATGGCTTGAGTGGTGAAATCTAGAGCCATGAATAAAAAAAACATAACAAATTACACGTTGAACCAGTCCACAAATGAAGCCTACAGACCAAGAGATCTAAAAGAAATGTTCTCAGTGTTAAGCGTTTTGAATGTGTTTCATGTTCACATTTTTGCAGCTTCCAAATGAACATGATTGATTGTGGAAAACAAGAGATAAGCAGAGAAACATGTCAGAACATCCCACCTGCTTTACTGATAGCTGTATCCTTTTCGGCCATTTCTACGTTTGGATTCAGTTTGTGTTGCCAATTATGTCTTTCCAGTTAGAAAACCTGAAGCTGGATGCAGGTTCAGCCTCTGCTCACTGATCCACTGTGAAACCAGGTGCTATTAGACAAGTGAAAAGCTCTCGAACTGAGTACAACAGTTACCTGCCAGTCATAATTAGCTGAACTAAATGAAGGATTAAAATTTTAATTAATCTGCCGAGACCATATCAGAGAAATTAATCTCCATACTGGTAGATTCTATGTCACTTTAAACTTCGCGAGAAAAGGTCTAAACTGGTTGTGTAAATCAACAAACTTTACAACCTTCTCAGAGACGAGGCAAATTTCTTGTAAAATGTATTCTTTTGAAGGGAACCTATTTATATTTCTCTTTCCTGAGTCCATTCCGTAACTTTGTTGCTGATTTCTTGTTTGCTTTTTTTTGTTTGTTTGTTTGTCTTACTTAATGGGTACTTCTACGTTTTAGAACACCTGGATAGCGTAAAGAACAATTTAGAAACTGTGCGAGGTGTATCCGTAAGAACTCAATAAGCTCTTAGCACTTGGCGCAGCACTGACACCACGTGTCTCTGTCTTGGCAGGAAAAAAATAGACCTTTGTGTTTACAGGTTTACAGCTATCTTTTAGGCAGTTACGTAAGAACTACTGAACATGATGGGTATTTATTGTGAGAAATCTTTCAAAACCACGCTAAGCTCTCAAAACATGCGCTACCTTCCGGCATACACTGATCATAATGTTGTGACCTCTGGCAGGTGGTGTGAAAGGAAAAACTTCAAAGTGTGGGATTAAGACACTTTTTCACCATCTCTTTGTGATTTTGCGAAGTTAGCCAACCGTGGGCTCTCCCGTGGGCTCGCAAAGCGAGGTATAGGCAGAGCCCACCGTTAGATGACTTCTGGAAGAATAAGCGACTTTGCCTCTCCAGAATATGAAGAAGCAATTAAAGCTGTGCTGCAAAGATACACTGAGTTCACCTTTACGAAGTTTGGCGCTTATGATTTTTAGCCATACACACACAGGACAAGCTGGTCTGAAGTGTGGCTAATATAGTGTAGTGTTTTCAGGAACAGGTGTGGGAAATAGAAAACACATCACAGATGTGATTTTTTTTTTTTTTTTTTTTTTAACGTATAATGGTTGATGATCTCTCAAACCTGTAGTCGTTCCATAATTCTAGTATGAGTTTTGAAAGCTCACACATGCATGGGCCATTGAACGACTAGGGGAATCCCAGAGAGAGCTTGGTCAATGTGGGCTTACGATGGAGCTTTTTCTGCAAGGGAGGCTTCTGATTATATCTTCATCGTGACATATGTTACTGTATGGAAAACAGGCAGTGAGTGAAGAGTTTGTCCCAACAATTGATGGGTTGGAAAGAGTTTGATCAGGGGGAAACTGGTGTGTTTTCAGAAAGGGGTCATAGTATTTCCAAGCTTTTGTTCACTGAGCATCAGTATCTGTCAAACGTGGTCCAAGGAGGTGAATTGGCAACGGGGAAGCAGCTCATTTATGCACATTGGAGTGAAGGCCAGACTGTACGAGCCAGACCAACAAACCTGCCAAGGTAGACCATGTACAATTTTTAACAACAGGAAGTTTTATCCTTCATTTGGCCTCCAAATTCCTTAGATTTCTGTCCAGTCTGTCACCGGTGGGATTTGCTGAACAGCCAATACAGCAGGTCGTCATTTTAAACTTGATCTGTAAATGCTGCTGTCCTCATTGGGTTTCCTTTGTCTTCTGCTAAAAAAAAAACAAAAAAAAAACAAACTTTTTTTCAAAATTGACCTGAACAAAAATCAAATCGATTTACTCCTTGTGTGCGATTCCAGGAAACAGCAGCTACCATTCAAATAAAATGAGAACATTTGATTATTTATTAGGAGTAAAGCGAGGACGCGCTACAGTACGTTATTCATCTTGAGCACCTTTGTCAGTTTGATCATAAACTGCTTGCGCTCATAAAGTTTTCCTCAGATGGGCTGTAGAAATCCCTGCCTCTGTAATGTGGAGCAAGGGGATCACTGCAGACGACTGGGATAAATATTAGCGATAAGAGGAGGAGGAAAGTCCTCCTTGCATCCCCCACCATCCTCTAAGGCTGTTGCCCTGCAGTAAATGCAAAGGGCTCTTTCTCTATTTATTTGGGTGGATGATGATGATAATACCTCTCTCCTGTCTGCCCACATTATATCTTCTCCTTCTGCATGAAAAGAGTCTTCTTTTATTGCAAAGTGGGCAAGAGCTGAATTCCTCCCCTGACTGAGATGAAAGGAGGTGAATGCAAATAGGAGAGACCGGAGAGCCTTATGATTGCTCCTCTTTCCTTTCATTCACGCCACATGCATATTGAACCATTACGGCCCAAATATTTGATGTCATCAGCAAGAGGGTAATACGATACACCAGCAGGATAAAAGGTTTCTTGTGAAACAGAAGGACAACTGCTTTCCCTGCACATCGAAAGCCTGGAACGTCCGCGACAACAACAACAGTTTAGAAACCACAGAGAAAATGGCCATATTTATTAAGTGGAACAGTGCAGATGTAAAATAAGATATATATGTAATACAGTTTGCTGTGCATTCCAGCACAATATCGCAAGAGCTAGACTAAATCAATGTTCTTCATTAGATTTAGACTGATAACTGTAAAAGTGAAGTAAACGGTGTTTGTATACAATCAGTAGCCTGTCAAATGCATTGGTGCCATAGCCACATGTAGGACTGCATGAGAGTTCACATTTGAAAACAGAATCGTTATCTTTTCTCAGACTCATGGTAAAGGAAAAAAAAAAAATCAAGTCCATAATTTATAATTATTTGTTAAAAGGCAGAGACGTTTTGTATGTTAGGGAATTCACTTTTAAAAGAGTCAAACTCGGACTTAGATTTCGTGCAGTTTCTTTCTTAAAAAAAAAAAAAGTAAATCTGTATTATTTGCTTGTTTGTGAACTTCATTTCTTTTGGGGAAGAAATGTGATGAGCTTTTCATAGCAACTTAGCTACTGTTGAGTCAAACCTATTTAACCTTAAGGGACCAAATTGTTTGAAACAAGAAAAAAAAGAAAAAGAAAAGTGTTATTTTAGGCTTGTTTTACAATCTGTCAATAAAAAGAATGAAGCGAAGCTGGCCAGAGTGTGCTTTGTTCGGAGGGAATGGTAGTTTATTAACGCGTGGGAACGGATTGCAGCTTGGGTTGCCTCTCATGAATCTCATTTCATTTTTCTCTCTGCTGCTGCGGCTCATATCGATTTCTTTTCATGCCCCTATCACCTCCCCCCAAATTAACTGGAAAGAAAAGCCAAATCAAGTCTGTCATCAACAAAGGGGAGTTGTCAAATGTTCGTCGTCTTCTTCGTGCCTTTTAGGCCGTCCCTCTTGTCAGACGGAGGGTTTAACTCCTCACCACGATGAGATTTTTTTACCCAAATGGAAACAGAATTCAATTATACCGGAATTCACAAACGACACCACAAGTCGTCATAACCCGCTGTAACGTTGAACGATCTGCCACGCCACATTGGCTGAGCTGCGTCTACTCTAGCCGACTGGGATTGGGGTGCTGAGCTGGTCATTGAGCAAATAATGGGACCTCATGAAATCTTAAAAATCACCTTCCAGCTCGCTGATTAATTAATGTAGAACATTAATCATACTGTGTCCCCTTTGCCTCCCAGCACCACAAGGTTTTCCACACCAATGCGTCATACAGCTCAATAAACTTGCAAATTCGGTGCTTATATCCCAATTTCACATTTTTAAACTGAACCGAGAAACCTTTGTTTCTCCCTCAGACGGCTGAGATGCACTTTGTAACTGTAGATTCTGTTCTCTTTCCTGGATGAAACCACTGCAAGACCTCGACGTGCTCCCATCGACTATGTTTTCGCTATCAGATTGGTTTTCGGTGCTTGTAAGTATAACTTTGTTTCTTTCCGAGGCAAAAGCAGATTTTTAGGCGCTTTAACTCAATTTACTCCGATTTCCTTTTCATAAAAATGTTATCCTAGATAAGTGAAACTGTGTCTGTTTTCTCCGCCTTTTCTGTCCTCTCGTTCAAAGTAGGCAAAACTTTGTCGGAGATTTCTTCCTTTTCGAGGGTAATTGTTTCTTTGCCCTGCCACCATCACATGCTTGCTCTGGATAAAAAGATTGCTGCAGAACAATTGACATGAGGAAATCTGCATGATTTTCCTGGATAATTAACTTTTTACTAATTGGTATTATGCGGTCGACCGACTTTGGTAAACGGAGGAATAAAACAGCGGGGATCGAACTCGGCTGTGTGTAATGAGAGCTGATTGGATTGAGCAAAATGGATTTGATTTTTTATGAAAATTTTGATTCCATAAAACAAATTGCACCAGTTTGTCTTGTGAAGTGCCTGGGAATGATATTTGCTGCGATTTGGCGCTACACGAACAAACCAAATTGAATCTCTTCAGACCTTAGAGAAGTGCTTAAACCATGGTCAGCAGGCCAGGATTCCCCCGTTTCTACTGATGGTATGCCCTGTCTCTCTGGAAATCCAAAATGTTGCCAAACGAATGCTTCCAAGAAAAGTAGTTGAGGCATCTTCTATTACAACCTCGTCAGGTGACGCTGACCTCAATTGGCCTGTGTCTGGAAGATGGCAGTCACCTCAACGAGAAATACTGTGATGTTTTATTATGGCCAGACGTTGTAGGTCAAGATCCCTACTGCCAACAGTAAAGTGAGAGAGAGTTTGTATGGTAGAAATCGGACTAAGACAGATTAAAAGTAAGATTATTTCTGCACCACGAATATAAAGTCGCTTGTCTCAAAAGAAGCCAAATATTTGCTTTTTTTTTTTTAATTTTGTTGTACTGCCAATCCACAAGTCAAAACTATACATCAAAAGTAAGGCGAAGAAAAGTGCAGTGCGATCAGCTGAGATGGGAGAAACCACAGGAAACAGAGGAAATGTTATGATGCAGAAAGGTTCCATGAATCGATTTAGTACAGACTGAAAAAATAAATATAAAACAATCTGTGCTGCATTCAAGTGTTAGTAGCCCATTCCAATTAAATGCCCATTAATAAGGAAATAGCAGAAAATAACAACGACGTAGGAAAAGGTTTGAAAGGATAGAAAATGATACTTTGACACTGACTTGAAATCTATGCCTATCTGCTTCTGGCTGTACAAATACATGCAGTTTGTTTCTAACACAGTTGCTATAAACAGGAAATATTTTATTCTCAGCAAAATAGCTGTGTGCTCCCTGGTTTCAGACATTGCTTTGTATTACACCCTGACGGACGGCAGGATGAAAAGCGCCGACCACTAAAAGCTACATTCATTCATTAAAAGTGGAGGTGGATGAAAGGCTTTGGGGAGTCTGACATTAATCTTTCCTGAAAGAGGGAGACAGCTACAGCGACAGCCTTCCGTGTGATTTCATTTCACTCTTTTGCATCATACCAAAGCTTACCTCCGCCACAGTCGCCACTGTCTGCCAGCCAATAACCGGGGCTGACACATCGGCAGGCAGCCAGTGGCAAAACCGAATCGGTTTGTCCTTCGCTATGTGTGGAGACGTCATCACTGTCATCATCAGAGTGTGGAATGAGGAATAACTTCTATTGAACCTGTGAGAAAAAAAAAACAATAACAGATATAAATTGTGAAGATGATGGTCATTTTTTCCTTCAATATTGTGTTATCTAATTATGCAAACTAAATTAGCTGCTCCCTCTTGTCTCAAGCAAATCAGGTTTTATGAAATGATCAGAACCTTGACTTTGATCTGTGTATTACATCCCTGCACTCCTCACATACTTAAATTTTGCTTACTTGGTGGCAGTAGCAAAAATTAGTATGCAAATATTATTCTTATAATGATGTAAAAGTTAAATCTGCAACTCAAAAAGATATTTGTTCTTTGCGTAGTTCCCAGTAAGGTGTAAACAAAGCTCTGTATTGGGTCAATAATTTTTTAACAATGTATATAATTTAAGTCTGAATCTCTCCATCTGTATGCAGATGACACAGTTGTTTACTGACAGGAAAGTGGCGTCTACAGGTTGCGTCTGACATTATTCTGTTCCACCTCTAACTGGTTACTAGCAAATCTAAGGGTGTGTAACTTTTAAACCGAAAACGGATCCCGGCTACTATTATTTCTGCACAATCTGTCCTTGCTAAATCATAGTCACAAATATGAAACATATTAAGAGTCTCACACTGAACGTCTTGTATCTGGCATAGAAATTATAGACATAAGAAAAATAGAAATGATACTTCTTTTATTATAGAAATATGAAAAATTACATACATGAAGAAACAACTTTTCAAGGGCCAGTTTCTTACCTCACGGTAATTATGGCAACAAAATGTACGTAAACACCCCGGATGGTTCCTTACAGTTGTTGGACACTATTTGCCATGGATACAAACTTTTTACCAACCATTAAATACTGCAGTCTTCGGCTAAGTGGGTTAAGCTTTACAGTCCACGTTTCAAATGATCATTACTGGAACTGGGTGCCTGTTGCATGTTCTTGATGCTTGATTGTTACCGTCTTTGTTTTCACTTTTTAAAATTTGTTGAACAAACTGCAATGACTTGTCTGTTGTCCGTTGGTCTTGAAAATAAGACCATATGAGATTTAAATACAATCTCCAATTACTTTTTTTTTTTTTTTTAAATATAGCTTAACATAGATTTCAACTCAAACAAGAAATATTTCAGGGCTGCATGGTGGTTACAAAACAGCACCAAGCTAACAAAATAACCCAAAAC